TATTTTTTAAAGTCTATTTCCTTATGAATGGGGCAATATCATTCTTTCTGATGGAAGCATAGGATTCCAGTGTGTGTGTGTGTGTGTGTATTTTTAAAGTCTTTCTATTTCCTTATGAATGGGGCAATATCATTCTTTCTGATGAAAGCATAGGATTCCAGTGTGTGTGTGTGTGTGTGTGTGTGTGTGTATTTTTTTTTAAGTCTTTCTATTTCCTTACGAATGGGGCAATATCATTCTTTCTGATGGAAGCATAGGATTCCAGATTTTTGTGTGTGTGTAAGCATAGGATTCGTGTGTGTGTGTGTGTGTGTGTGTGTGTGTGTGTGTGATCCATTCGTCCACTGAAGGGCTTCTGGGTTGATTCCATATCTTGGCCATGGTTATGCTAGTGGCTTTAGTGTGGCCTGGTTTGTGGTCAACTGGATAAATGCCCAGGAGTAGAAATGGTGGGTCATAGGGAAGCTCTATGTTTAGTCTTTTGAGGAACCTCCATACTGCTTTCTGGAGTGACTGAACAAGTTTACAAGTTTACATTCCCACAAACAGTGTAGCATTTCCTTTTGGCCACATCCCCACCAGAATCTGTTACTAGTTTTCTTTATAATGGCCAATTCTGACTGGGGTGAAGTAGAATCTCAATGTTTTAATTTGCATTTCTTTTATGGCCATATCTCTTCATGTATTTATTGGCCATTCTTGCTTCTTCTGAGAAGCTTCTCTTTAAGTCTTTAGCCTATTTATTAATTGGGTTGTTGTTTCTTTGAAGATTTGTTTTTGGAAGGGTTTAATTTTTTGAGCTCTAAGTATATTTTAGACATGAGGCCTTTGTCTGATGCATATCTAGGAAAGATCTTCTCCCATTCTGTAGGTTTTCTATTTATCTTGCTAGCTATGTCCTTTGCCATGCAGAAATTCTTCAGTTTGCTGAATTCCACTTATCTAGTCTTTGATTTGTTGCAATAAATCAAAGGCAAGTTAGTCTAATTCTTAACTTTCTGCAATGGAGTTATGTCAAATAATCCTTATATGGTTATAGTGGAAAATAAAGGAGGTAATATGTAACAATTTACTTTGATAGTGCCAATAACACTATAAAATTGAACATGTAAGTTGCAATTACATTTCATAGGTTAAGAGATATAATCAGGTTATAGATTATATGCTATCATATAATGTTCTAAACTTTAAGTTCTCAAAAAACAGATTCCTCCTTTTTTTACATACACTAAGTAGCTTTTAGGAATTTAAAATTCAATAATTTGAACCTATACTTAAGGTAAAAAAGATGAAAGGTAAGACATATGGAAAATGAATATTCAAATATGTTTAAATTCATTTAATGAATGACATTCATAATCATAAATAAAAGAAACAGAAAGTATTTATACATTTGTAAACTTACTTGGTTGTGGTTCTGCTTCTGCTGTACGATTTGTCTGTCCTCCACTCATTTCAGGTAATCTAATAGGGCTGCTACTCTTTGGTCTGCTATCTAAAACACTAAAATGAAAAGCAAAGGGAAGATTGATTTTAAACTATTCAGACACGAAATAGCAAATATACTAATTCCTGCACGAATCTACCCCTCAACTAATCCCTCCCACAATATAAATTCTCTGATTTATAACTTAGATAAATATAGATTATAACATGGAAGAAAAAGTCTTAAAATATCTACTGGAAAGTAAAATACTATAATTATAAAGATGAATGCAAGATGCACAAAAGCATCTTTGTAATATTCCCCCACTGCCATTAGAATTATGTAAGTACCCACAAGTCAATTATGAAAGTATCAATTTTTATTTTCTCCAAATTATCCATATTAACTTTTATTTTGTCAATTTAATACAGTTGGAAAAATCTACTTTAGTAATGAGTCTTTAACCACTTCATTCTAAAATACTAAATATCTAAAATAACTCTTTTGAGCACTTTTAAAATATTAGGATTTTTAGTTACTATAGAAAATTCAGACACCTAAAATTATAAAGCCATGCAGCAGTATATTAATTGCATTAATTTTCTAATTTTAAATAAAAATAATAACTTACTTTCTTTTCAAAAGTGACATAAGTTTAAACTTGTAATATGTACGTCAATTGGCAGAAAAGCAAGAGACTAAAGACTAGTCATACTTAAATTTTATTGTCTTGATTACTAGTTAAAATAAATGCCATTATCTGGATCAAATCGATCATATGTTATAACAAAAGCAAAAAGATATAAAAATGATGAGACAGCTAAATTAAAATAGACTTTAGTCAATTATGAATCACCTATTTGTTGGAAGCCCTTCTTCAGCATTGTTCCACAGAGTTGCTTTAGACAATTCTTCTAAGGCATTTCGGTATTCTTTACAACTTTGGGTAGAAATAGATTGAAAAAGGTTAAATGTTAGCCTCTTCATTAAAAATATATCACAAGCTTTAGAATAAGTTTAATACTACAGAAACATTAAACAAATCCATCCTTAAACAAATACATCTAGGTTACCTAACAAAAGTGATCAAGTAGAAGTTCTACGAAGAAAGCCAGTATCTTCACAGAGAATCAAATAAAAAAAAGACTTTTGATAAAGGAGGATCAATAACCTTAACAATGATCAAAAATGCTAATTTACAAGCCCTAAGGATGTAACCACCTAGTAGAATGCTCATCTAGCATGTTCAAGGCCCTGAGTTAGACCCTCAGAACCAGAGAAAGAACAAAAGAAAAAAATCTAGTTACTAACAGAGTGAATAACTTCAGGCTTCTGGCAAGTTAAAAATATGAAACATAAAAATTTACCTTTACCACAATAGAGAGTAAGAAACTTAAGAGCGCTTTTCTACTTAACAATACTAAAGTTTAAGAAAAAGCTTTTTCAGGGGCTGGGAAGGTGGCTCAGTGGTAGAACGCTTGCCTTGCATGCCTGAGGTCCTGGGTTCTATTCCTCAGCACCACATAAGCAAAAAAAAAAAAAA